TTGTTTCTAATAATTTGGAACTAAATAAATAAATAAAAGATATAATAGCAATAATGCACTTACATTAACAAGCCATTGCAATGAGGTCCAGAGATATAGCAGTTCCTTCAAGGATTGCTATTAGGCAGAGGACACCATTCTTGTCTCAAGCCACATTGTTTATACTTTCTTTTTTACTGACATACCATTCCACAGTTTCACTTCCCTGTTCTTTCTTACTGACCGTCACCTTCTATAAACACCTGTGTACATTTGAAGCTCTCAGACACTTGTTACTTTCATTTCCTCATTTCCCAGCATCACGACTTTTCCTGCTCTAAATATATCCATTTAAGTACATACTCTGTAGAAGTCAGCATATCACACAAGTCAGCATATTATAGATATCTCCAGCAAATTTTGCAATTGTCTTAGTTTAAAACATTGGTTCATCAAGGCCCACAAGACTCCACCTTGACCTTATTACCTGCAACTTTCCAATGGATATATTCCTCCCCTTTCAGTCCTCCCTTTCTGATCATGAGATCAACACAAACCAAAGTGTCCAAAACATTATATGTATATAACTAAAGCCAAAATTCTTCATTTAAGATGAAGGCAGACAGTTACTTTGATTAGGAGCATTTCAGCAAAATATCTGTGGAGGGATTGCATTAGGCAGGCTGAAAGGTCTGCAGCCTTTTCATGGTGGCATGCATTGGCTTGCTGTCTGACTGTTCAGGTAGATCTCTTCATTAGTGTCCTGAAAAAAGGGGTGTGTGTTAGCACCAATTTTATTGAAGGGGTTCTAGTCAATGTAGAGGAAGAAGAAGAACAAGAGCATTCAGTAAGTACAGAAGTGGCAGTATGAGGAACAACTACCATAAAAGGAATCAAATAGGGCTTGGAGGCTGTAGGTGTAGGGCAGGGCAGTGATGATTCAGACCAAAGGCATGAGTCCTTTCCTGATGCAGGCTGTTTCCTGCAATCATTGCTGGGCTTCCATGAAACTGTTCTTTTGCTATTCGTTGATGGTAGGCAAAGGTAAGGTTACTCGATGTAGGCATGGTTTTAGGTGAAGGTTGTATGGAGAGCGGGGGTAGAAGCACTTGCCTCCCTGTTGGGCAAAGCTTCAGTCTTTGCCTTGTTGCAGCCAGGTGACCTGAGCTGAGGGGCTTCCTTGTCTAAGGCTGATACCTTCTTACAGTGTGAAGTGTGCACCCAAGAGGCCAGATGTTGACACTTCACAGCAGCATTGGTGGTCAAGATGATCTGGAATGGACCCTTCCAATGAGGAGCCAGGCAGTTCTTTCATTGAAATACCTTCACCAAGGAGCGCACTTCAAATTTTTTAGCAAGGGCTCTCTGCCCTAATGACTGGCTGGGTGGGTGTGGCTGGGTGGGTGTGGCTGGGTGGGCATGGCATGTCATTGGGTGGGCATGTGATCAGGTGGGCATGGCTAGGTGGTCATGTGACTGGGTGGGTGTGGCCAACTTGACACCACTTCTTTGCCCTAATTACCTAAAAAAAGATATATACCAAAAAGTTATTTACTATTTCATGCATTTAATACTTAAATAAAAGACTGAGTGAAACCAGGCTTAATAGCAGTGACTGTGAGAGGGATCTTGGAGTCTTAGTGGACAACCAGCTAAATATGAGCCAGCAGTGTGCAGAGGCAGCCAAAAAGCCAATGCAATCCTAAGTTGCATTAACAGAGGGATACAATCAAGATCAAGCAAGGTGCTAATACCACTCTATAAACTAAAGCCTTAGTAAGACCACACCTAGAGTACTGCATCCAGTTTTGGTCACCACAGTATAAAAAGATGTTGAGACTCTAGAAAGAGTGCAGAGGAAAGCAACCAGCATAGTTACATCGCAGGGAGTTAGAAGAAGAGAAAAGTTGCTGTTATAATTAAAATAAATGATAGGAGGAGAGGTGGAGAGGAAAGATAAACCATAGAGTAAATCATAGAGAAAGAAAAAAATGGAGAAAGGAAAGATTGGAGAAATAGGAGGAAAACAACCCACAGCAAACTTGGCACACAGAGAGAAGCTCAGCTGCACCCGAGAGGCCTACCCAAGAGCTTGGAGGCCCATTGAAGTGAGGTGAGCAAACCAACGAAGAACAAGGGAAGTCGGTGAGTGAGTGGGGCCCAGCTCTGGAGCAGGGAGGTAAACTATCCGTGGGGCAGAGAGGAGAGCCACTGAGGGCAAAGCAGCGACCAGCAGAAGAGAAGTTCCTCATTTCCGACTTTCCTGCTCTAAATATATCCATACAAGTACATACTCTGCAGAAACATATCGCACAAGTCAGAATATTATAAATATCTCTAGCACATTTTGCAATTATGTTAGTTTAAAAGTTTGATTCATCAAGACCCACAAGCCTCCACCTAGGCCTTATTACCTGCAACTTTCCAATGGATATAGTCCTCCCTTTTCAAGCCTTTTGTTTTTCCCACCTTATGGAGTTAATCCTGTCAGGAAGGAGGCATTCTGGTGTGCCTGTGCATGTTGTTTCTAGCCTAATCCTGCTTATCTTTATTGACCTGCTTAAGTGTTTTCAGAAACTGCCTCTGGGGTTAAACCTTGGTACATAGTAACAGCCCTAAATGGTTCTTGGCAATATGCCCAGACTTTCTATAGCCTGAGAGGCTTCTCTGGAGTTTTTTTCCTTTGCTGGTACTTTTATTTTGGGCTTGACATTCTTAAAGGGGAAGGGTTGTTTTAAGCTTTTTACACTGCTTTAGTGGTTCCAGGTACTGTCCTTTTGGGTGTACTTCCAACATGGCTGAATCCCCTCCCAGCCACTCCTGTCCCCAATTATGGGTGGGAGGGGGCGATCACGCCCCTCTTTCTTCCCTGGATCCATAATCTTCTCTAAATGGAGCAATCTGGCTAGTCTATGGCTTGTTTGTTTGTTTGTTACAAAAAAATTACCTCAGCAATGAGGTAATCTTTTTGGACTGCAACTGATTGCTTGATCAAGTTAAGTAATGACTGAGAAGCAGGATGCAAGCTTGGCACTCTCTCTGGTTTTTTTTTACTGCCTTTCTGGGGGCATGTGATCTTATCTTGTGAGGTGAGTGATATCAGCTGTTATCTTTAAGTGGTGCAAATGGATCTAAGGATTGCTTATCCTGGGTGGGAAAGGCTCCTTTGTCAATTCACTGAGCACATGAGTCTCTTGTGTCTTGGGATTCTTCAGTCATCCAGGTCATGGTTGCCCCAAAGGTGCTTTTTTCAAGAGGCAGCTGGACTTTCTTGGTTGCTCACTGATAGTAAGATTTTTTAAAAATAGGAGGTTGGGGTGTGGATCCTCCATCCAATTTGTTTTAGTTTTCTCTCATGATAATAAGGCTTAGTAGCATGGCACCAGGCCAGGAAGTTTATTTAGATATCTGTGACATGTACTAATTTTATTGTGATCCTGACAACTTTGTGAGTGCAGAACCTGGGTCCCCTAAATACTTCATAAATTTTTAGCTCGGCATTTTGTAGCCCAAGTATGCCCATCCACTTTCTGGAGAGCTTAAATGACCTCTCTGCTAAAGGATTTCACTTTATGAGCAAGAGTTGGCTGCTGACAGCTACTGCATTTTAACTATTTTAATTCCTCAAGGTGCTCTGGCACCCTGCCTGATTTGTAGGTTGCAGGTATTGCTGATGAAAAGGAAGGACAGAATGGTTTAGGTTTTCATGATGGCTGTGACTGTCATTGATCTTCAGTGTGTATTCCCCCATTTCTAATCTAATGATTGGTATTTAGGGCAGCTTTTTGAAAGCAAAGAAGCTTTTTGTAATTTTGTACAGGTAGTCTTTGATTTACAACAGTTCATTTAGTGATGATTCAAAGTTACAATGGCACTGAAAAAAGTGACTTATGACCATTTTCACACTTGTAACCATTGCAGCATCCCCACAGTCATGTGATCAAAATTTAGATGGTTGACAATTGTCTCACATTTATGACTGTTGTAGTCTCCCAGAGTCATGTGATCCTCTTTTGCAACTTTCTGACAATCAAAGTCAATAAGAAGGCCAGATTCGCTTAACAGCTGTATTATTAACTTAACAACTGCAGTGATTCACTTAACAAATTTGGCAAGAAAAGTTGAGAAATGGGGCAAAATTCACTTAATAGATTACTCACTTAGCAACATAAATTTGGGCTCAACTATGGTCATAAGTCGAGGAGAGGCTGGACAATGTGAGGCGCCCCTCGAGTGGGCCACGCTCACCCAGTCATATGACCACTCAGCCACGCCTACCTAGCCAGTCATTAGGGTAGAGAACTGGTTACTAAATTATTTGAATCCCACCACTGCAATCATGTATCTGAAATGATATAGCTTCTCCTGCTTGAGCAGAGGGCTGGACTAGAAGACCTCCAAAGTCCCTTTCAGCTCTATTCCATTCCATTCCATTCTATACTTTTTCTTAACCCACCCCCACCCCCACCCCAAAAATACCAGCAAATAATGTGATCCAAAGCATAATTCTCTGATCCCAAAACATTTTGGTGCCTAAGATGGAAATTCCCAGTAGTGGTCTCTGTGAAATTAATTATGATTGAAATTGTTAACATTATATTTGTCTGAATGTTCCACTGCCTGGGCTTGGCTACCTTTCCTGTCTTAAGACCAGTTATGGTTTATTTGTATGTTTTTTTAGGAAAGGGTTATGTTGTATAGGAGATAATTTTCCTGGAAAAACAAATGCTTATTCACTGTCCCAAGAGCAGGGTGAACCAGGACATGCATATCAGAGAGACAGTGGGACTCCATTCCTATCCATTTTTCATCCAGTGGGAATAGGAGGAGCTGAAGTCTTTGCAGTTACAATAAACTCTGGAATGAGATCATGAAAGATTCCTCCCCCCCCCACTTTTCTCCTCATTCCATTGAGATGATGATATTGAAGCTTTCTAACTTTTCTTAATTAAATTTTGAAGACAAGCCAAATAAGAACATTTAGGAGTGGTTAGGAACTCTGGCCAAAATAGGGGATTAGTTGAAGGGGAAAGAAGCACATCTGCAGTGAAAAGAAGCAGAGTTCATGGACAGCAGTGAGTGGAGAGGGTTGTATCCCAAAAACAGAGGGTGATTTTCATAGGAGATGATGCAGATGCAATTAACTTAACAAAAATCAGAAAATAAATGAATGGATAGGAGAGAAGGATGGAAAGTAATGTAATGTTATCTTCAACTCAAATTATTTGGTTTTCAGATAGAGCAGTTGAACAGCTTAGAAAGGAGATTAAGGAACCTTTAATTGCCATTGTACATCAGTGAGTGAAAGGGAAGGATCTGTAAGATGTAGGTCAGGAACTTCCATTTATTTTCATTCTTTCTCACTTTGCAGGGATGGTGGCCTGTGGAACTCAGATGTTGCTGTGCCTTCTAGCTACTGTTGTCCTGCCATCTGGTGAGTAATGTAACACTGGCAAAGTACAACACTTCTTCTGTTCCACCTTAAATTTGTGTTAGCCAGTGGTATATTTTTTTAAAAAATGGATTACCTCCAGAGGCAGGATTTGTAGAATGACTTAACTACAGATTATGGAGTCTTTCCTTTTCTCTTTAGTGTAGTTTCTATGGTAGGAAAAATGATGGATTGAAAGATTGGAAAATCCATGTGGATTGTGATACCATCTCTCCCCTTCCCTGCACAAAATGTGAAGGAGGCAAGATGTTTACACAGCCTGAGACTGTGCAAGAGCTTCCTTAGATAAACTTGTGAGTTTATATAGTGTGTGTTCATACCAAACCAGAGAAGCTACCCTACACCTCAGTATATTGTGAAAATGAATTATCAATTATCATTTATTTTGTTACATACTGAAATGAAACAGAAAAAAGCTCTATGTGTTATTTGCATCTTACAAGTGATATACATTAACTTCTCCCAAAGGATTCTGTAGGAAAAAGGAATATAGTGGGCACTAAGTTGGGGTCCTGCATGGCTGTGAATGTGTGTCTTTAAATGTAGTTGAATTCACAAGTTAAGTTTGTCATAATGTGCCTTGTTTGATTTGGCTCAGTACTTTGTGTGAGCCATGATGTGATTTATAAATGTATTGTTAATGCTTAATGCATTAACAAGCTTGTTATCCCAATGGTAGGTTATTCAAGAAATCATGGTAAATAAACCATGGTTTAATATAATGTGTAAATCCTCCTTGTGTTGCCTCTATTGCTTCACTTATACTGTGTGATCTTAGAAATTGATTAAATTCATAGACCTACTTTAAATTAACTGTTTTTGAGCTTTCAGTATAATTATTTTAAGAATTTTTTTTCTAAGAAATTATTGGGACCTATTCTATGGGATGGCTGGAATATTTCAAATAGAAAATGCTTAGATTTATGACTCAGTAACAACTCCAATTATTCATTCAAAGACACAGGATGATTAAACTAATATAAAACAATATATAGCTGTAGTTTTTGTTTGCCAATTCCTGAATTCTCGAACATAATTCTGCTTTATAATTTCACCCTATACAGGGTGAGTAGTGCCTTTGCATGCCCAACAAAATGTCTTTTCTGAGGAATAATAGTTTCCAGGACATCTTTGCTGAATCCATTTTTTGTTTTTTTGGAGCTGAGAGTTCTTTGGTGTTTTTAATAAATGTTTATTTTTAAAAGTGTAGATGATGGCATTTGAGCTTGGAAAAAAACACACTGGCAGTAAGTCCAAAGAAATTATGGCACCCCAAAAGCTACAAGCCTATCTGCCAAATATGAAAATTTCAAATTGCCCCCATCTCTGCTTCTATTCAGTATTAATTTAGCTACTAGAATATTATGGGCTGAATCATCTAACACAAAATTGTTGCATAATTCAAAATTTTCTTTTTCTTCAGAATTCAAGATAGATATGGGGACTTTTTATGTTTGGAAACTATTACTAAGATAGGGAGAAGAGAGTTAGCTGTGATATTTTACAGTGATGCTAATTTTGATTAGAGAAATTTACTCTCATAAGAATATGGCCATCAAACATTTACTAACAAGGAACATTATGTCTTTTGCCATCATTATATATTGCAGTCATGATCCTTGACCACTTTCCTTCTTTTGCAAGTAGCAAAGATAGAGAGAACTAATACATCTTCCCACTATGCTTTTCCCCTCATAAAATGAGAAAATTCATTCTCCTGCTCACAGATATTTTAATGTAAAGAAAAAATAAATTATAAGAACCAATTGAGTCATCTATGTGATATCTTGCTTTAACTATATTTTCTAAGTATCTTGGAATAGATGTTGTTCCTTGCAGCTGCCCGATCCAAATGCTACCGTTTACCATGAAAGTTAAACTATACAAAATGAAAACCAATAATGGGATTACAATGGCTAAGATAATACTTCTTTAGCAGCCTGAAAACATAGTTCCATAACCCAAAAAGTAAGGGAAAGAAACTATGGCTTTTTTGTAACAATTATTTTATGTTCATGTATATAAATAACATTTTTTCTTTCTATTTAGAGTGGCTTTTGCTGGGAGTTGTTGCTCAAACAACAGCAGGTACATTTTAATTGGTTTTGTACTAATACCTGATTTGTAATTTTATGGAAATTCTGACCTAATTTCATTCATAATATTAACCTCTTTGATATAATATTGACTTTAATATTGACTTAATATAACTTTGATATCTATAGGCATCAAGGCATCAAGGCTAAAGCATCAAGCTAAAAATCCAGAGACTAGGAATTCTAGTCCTGTTTGTAGGCACAAATCTAGCTGGGTGATCTTTCTCACAGCCCCAAGAAGGAGACAATGGCAAACTATTTCTGAAAAACCTTGCCAAGAAAACTTCAGGCACGAATCTAGGCAATCACCGGGAATCAAGACTGCTTCGAAGACGCACACACATACACACATACATTTTTTTGAAAAGTGATTCAAATCACTGAGTCCTTCATTCTGAAGAATTATGGGTTTGGCCTCAGTGTAAATCCATAGTTTTGTTTAGAGATGTGAGTTGAAAATAGAGGCAGCTACTCTATATTCTCTTGTACTATCTGCTCTGTTTCCTAAAATTCATATAGTTAGAGGTCTGAACTGAAGTTGATCAAACTGTTAAAGATGAAAACTTTTCCCTATCAGTGGAATTTTTGGCTGAAATTGCTACTAAATTTCTTATTTCAATCAGGCTTAGCTGGAGGATGATCTCATTTTTTTCTCTCCAGATTTCGTAATTCATTTCTTAATCCACTTAATGCTCTTGTAACTGCACCGCACGGTGTAGCTTAATGATTTAACTGATTAAAAGCTTTGTTCTCTTTTTCATTTTTTAAAATTATTATTCACAAATTGTGGTTAAGCTGATTCATTCTTTTCAGCAGCCTGCCCCAGGTAATGAAGCTTCTCTATTAATACTTCCTCCGCTTGTTGCCTTGTCTGGAGAAGGGCTGTTTTCCTGAGTGGGCTGCCACTTTTTAGTAGGTTCTTTAACTGTTTCCCTGGGTCTTTGCTCTTTTTCTTCTTTCTTATCCTGAGTATGGGATTTACTCAAGTCTGCTGTAAGGACTTTGGTGGGGGTGCCTGTAGCCCGATGTTGTGCTTGCAGAAAGACAGCTATATCTTTTCTCAATGTCTCTACATCGTGTTGGATGGTTGTGTTAGTTGTTCAAATATTGAGACAACTGTTTACGCTGTGAGAAGCCATTGCTTTGACATAAACTCTGTTGTATTCTCCCATGGTAAGCTCTCCACACCCTGAATTAGTTTGTTGCTAAACCTTTTAGTCTTTATCTCAGTCTCCATATCGACTGTAGCTGGACTAATTGTTTGTGAAAATATCTGGCTGTCATTTTGCCCCCCCCCCCTCCCCTGATCAGAAAAGTCCAGTATCTGCTGTTTTGTCAGATCTCCTTGCAGGTCCCGTTCTAACCTCTCAAGGTTGTTGGAAATGAAGCGGGGGGGGGGGTAATTTTACTCAGGATGGGATTTTACTAGTTCTGACCGGTTCTATAGAGCCCCTTGTTAGCTTTCTAAGCAGTTCTGAGAACTGGTTGTTAGAAGAAATCTCCTTTTGTTTTTTTCCATCCTTATTACATTCTTGGCAGTATGCCTAGACTTACTATCTCTGAAGGAGATTTTTTTTCTTTCCTGGTACTTTCTTAAAGGGGAAGGGTTGTTTTAAGCTTTTTACACTGCTGTTGGGAGGAAATACTCCCCTGGAAATATTTCCAGCCAGCATGCAATGATCAGCACTTTGAAGAAATAATTGAATAATGAAGCAGAGCTGCGGAAATAAGCTTTTTAATGACAAGGAACCAAGATGAGTGACATTCAGCAAGGCTTCTTAGCTAGCTAGAAAGATTGACATTCAAACGTGAGTTTACATACCCTTTCTGAGTTTTGGTCTAAAACTGGTTTTTGGTGAAGTTTAATTCTGTGCTTGGTGACGTTTAATCCTGTGTTTATTGATGGGATAATTTTCCCTATTCAGCTTTGTTTGGAAGGAAAAAGGTTAGTCTCTGTTCCTGAAAAGAAACTGGGTTGAGAAATCTGGCTAGTTTCTGGGTCTATTTGTTCTGGTAATTGGTTTAACAAGCAACAGCTACTTAATTATTTGTATTGTGTTTGCATTTTTTCCTGCCTCATGGTTTCTTTTTCTGTCTGGGGAAGGGGTCTTCCTTCACTGCTTTAGTGGTTTCTGGCACTGTCCTTTTGGGGTGTACTTCCAAGAGGCAGGATGCAAGCTTGGCACTGATTTTTTTACTGCCTTTCTGGGGGGCATGTGACCTTTCCTTAAATATGAATGATTTCCTTAGGATATCTTATGAGGTGAGTGAGATCAGTTGGTATCTTTAAGTGGTACAAATGGATCTAAGGCAGGGGTGGGCAAACTTTTTGGCTCGGGGGCCTCATTGACTTTTAAAAATTTGACAGACGGGCCGCCACCTGGTGTCGAAATGCCTGTCATTACAAGTCAAAATCAAATGAATGCAATCATTCAATCATTCACATCAAACCTTAATTCTGTACCAATCTTCGGCAGGCCGGATTAAAAAGACCAACGGGCCGGATGTGGCCCGCGGGCTGTAGTTTGCCCACCCCTGATCTAAGGATTGCTTCTCTTGGGTGTGCTCTTTCTGGAGAGCTTAAATGACCTCTCTGCTAAAGGGTTTCGCTTTATGGGTAAGAGTTGGCTGCTGATAGTTATCATTGCACTTTAACTATTTTAATTTCTCAAGGTGCTCTGTCACCCTGCCTGATTTGTAACTCTGGCTTGCAGGTATTTTTAATCTAATGATTGGTATTTAGAGCAGCTTTTTGCAAGCAAAGAAGCTTTTTGTACTTTTGTACAGGTAATCCTTGACTTACAAGAGTTCATTTAGTGACCATTCAAAGTTACAATGGCACTGAAAAAAGTGACATGACCGTTTTTCACACTTACGACCGTTACAGAATTCCCACTGTCATGAAAGGCCAGGCGAAGAGAAGCACCACTTGATGTGAGTGACGTTGAGTTGGCCACACCCACCCAGTCACATGATGAAGCCACACCCATCACAGAAGCCACAGAACCGGTTGTTAAAAATTTTAATCCCACCCCTAGTTTTACTTACAGATCTCTTGCCAGCAAAGTGCTCCTCAATTCTTGGTTGTTTTGCAGTCTTCAATGATGGGAGAAATCCCGGGCTGGCACCATAGTGCTTCTTCCTTTTTCCTGTGCCTTATTGACTAATAACAAAAACTTTTCTCTGTGTGTGTAGTCTACACTGTTATCTTTTCTGAAAAATATCATTTAAATAAAAAAGAAGAGTACTAAAAATGGGAGTACTAAAAGTTGATAAAATAAATTAAAACCAAGAGGAGCTTCTGCTCCAGCAGCAGCAGCCAAAGCATAATTGCAATACAAATCTTTACATCACATATATTATAGCTTCTTCCAAAGGGTCTTGGCATACATGGTTTGGAGAAGATATCAATTCCTCTCTTACTCCACACCTTTTTTCTTTTCATTCATTCCTTTCTTGCTATCTTTATTTATTCTATTTTTCTCAGTCAGACCAGGAGTCACTTGCAATACAAAAAGCATGAATATTCTAGATGTATTTCAGAATAAAAAAGTAGAGTGAAAGGGCAATAAAATGAGAATGGGAATAAGATTTCATCAGCACATCTGACTATGCTAATATGTTAATCAAATGTGCATTGCTGTCACTGCTGCATTGTTGCAACCAATCTTGTTTCAGGGCCTCTGGAATCACCCACAGATCCAGACAATGACTTAGGTGAGTTCTTCTTATTTTTTCTACATCTATGGTAAGCATCTGGGCTGACTCCAGAGGTTGTATTCAGAAGGTTCTGACCAGTTCTGGAGAACAGGCAGTGGAAAATTTGAGTAGTTCAGAGAACCGGTAAATACCACCTCTGATTGGCCCCGCCCCATCTATTCTCTGCCTCCCAAGTCCCAGCTGATCGGCTGGGTCTTTTTTTGTTACCCTGCACAAGAGAATGGAGCTGGAAAGCACGTTAGTGGGGTGGGGAGGAAATAGGGATTTTGCAGTAACCTTTCCCCAGGAGTGGGGTGGGAATGGAGATGTTACAATATCCTTCCCCTGTCACGCCATATCCACCAAGCCACATCGTGCCCACCAAGCCATGCCCGCAGAACTGGTAGTAAAAATTTTTGAATCCCACATGTATGGCTTTCAACAGAGTTGGAAGGGACCTTTAAAATCTTCTAGTCCAACTCACTACACAAGCAGGAGACACTATACCATTCCAGATAAGTGGCTGTCCAGTCTCTTCTCAAAATCGTCCAGAGATGAAGTCTCAAGTTTAATGAAGTCTGGGTCTCTCATGCCCACAACTTCCCCTATACTGCCAGTTCTTCAAGTGGATCCCGGTTTTGAAGATCTGCCCCCCCCCCCACCAAAAGACTACCTCATACTGTTCCCCAAGGGAAGTGATCCTTGGGGAATGGCATGATTGTCCACAGCCCGGTGCTCTTAAGGATCTGCCATGGACTGCTTATCTTCAGACCGTATCCTTTTCTGTTGACAGGCCTCTGTGGCCTACTCTAGGCTGCTATTGGTGACATGAGACCTTTATTGAAGTGGCTTCAGAGAATGCTCTTCTGTGACCTCTGCATCATCACTACTACAGGAGCAAAAAAACCTGAATATTTTTAATTCTACATTTGTTAAGCCTGGCACAGGCAGCACACATAGGGTCAATTCCAAAATCTACAGTTTAACCAGTTGACTAATCTATATAAAAAAGAAATTGAACATAGGAATTTAGCATAACCAAGTGAAGCCAGAAAATTGTCAACACCAAAGTGACACTCTAATGCATAAAATATTACTTCCATTGTGTAGCACCTTAAACTGCCCTTGAACTGTCTCAGCTGTGGGGAGACATTGAGATATATGTGGTTGCATACTCAGGAAATGATTAAAAGGCCATTCCTGTGTCTGGGCAAAAAGACTGTAGGTTTCTCAGAAAGATAGTCAGGCAAAAGTTGAAGTTCCCCCCACTTTACCACACTGCCACCCCATGTCACTTTGACTTTTAGTCTGTCAGAACTTGAAACAAATGTTAGCAAATACAGTAGTTAAACCTGCTGACCTGGACATCTGTCAACTCTCACCTCCCCTCTGTCCAGTCCCAGTACATAATAAGGAAGAATAACTGTAGGATGCTTTCCTGCTGCCTGGTCTTGTCTAATGGAGAAGAGGAACAAAGCCAGGGGAACCCATTTGCATTTAAGTTATAAATTTGGACTTTGAACATGAAACGCTATTTCCACCTTTGAAATTTAAATTAAACACATTAATTTAGAATGTGTTATCTCTATGGTATACAAATACCATACAACCATTGAATATTCTGTGAAATCACCTTAAAATATAATATATAGCCCAGCTGTTGCATTGATTTCTCATGCAAGCAAGATTCTAGATTTAACTGTCTAGTCTTCCTCAAACTGAGTTTCATTCCTGGTGATATTATGGATGCATCAACCTGGTTTACTGAGCTGACAGTATTTGAAGTGAATAGCATTTTATATCAATATGAATTTAATTTAATTTTAATTAATTTTATTTAATTAATTTAATTTAATTTTAATTATTTTACTTACTTAAATTAAATAATTAAATTAGTTATAACTTTAATTACTTTTACTTACTTAATTTTAATAATAAAATTAAGAAATATTTTTATATTTTATATAATTAATAATTAAATATAATTTTAATAATAAAATTAAAATATAATATATATCCCAGTCAGCTGCCTTCTAGATTTAACTGTATTTCCCATGAATCTCAGTTATGCTTAGCCAGTTGCACAATATCCTCAGCAGTTTGTGCTGTTAAACATTGTATGTTGTTTGAACTGATTGATAAATAATATTGTGATGCTTATTATTCAATTATAAATGGAATAGTCAATAAATATTTAAATATTTGAAAGGGTTATTTCTGTTTTGGCATTTGTTTTAATGTATTTGATTTATTTGCTCTACAAAATGTCTCCCTCAAAATGAAGTTCATTCCTGGTGTTATTATGGATGCATCCATCTGGTTCACTCAGCTGACAGTATTTGAAGTAAATAGCATTTTATATCAATATGAATTTAATTTTATAATATTTCCTTTTTTGTTCCAGTTGATAGTGGTCCAACAACATCTCCTGGTAAGTTTAGTTTTATCATTTCTTCCTTGGTACCCCCCCTCCCCCAATATGATTTCCTTTCTTAAGCTGAAATTTAACAACCAAGGGCTTGCCTTTGATGTTTTTGATATTTGCATCTTCTTGGAGACTTTGGAGAATTCAATGAATTTTAAAAAAAACCTCTGGGAGTTTAGAAGACAAGAAAATTTCTCTCTCTCTCTCTCTCTTATATCTATATCTATCTAACGCCCACTAGAAGCCCTTCTGTCGGTATAATGTTTTGGAAAGAAGTGGCAATGAGAGTTAAAATAAAATATCTCTTATAGCCACTCAACAAGTGTCAGTTTCTTGAATAAACTCAATAAACAGCTTGTGGCAATTCAAACATTTATTATATAATTTAACATGATATGTTTAATTCATCTACCTTTACTTGTTATGCTTATAACATTTTTGTTACATAAAATTATTGTTACATAAAAATAAGGTCAGCATGTTCTGATGCCTAAGAATGATTAAGAATGGCAACAATTAGGATCAATTTGGGGTGATGGGAGGGAAATTTTATTTTAACTCTCACTAAAATCAGTTTGGAACAAAAGTTGCCACTTCTTTCCAAAACATTATACTGACAGAAGGGCTTCTAGCAGGGGATGGAATGTACCTAACAAGGACCAGGAGGAATATATTTGGAAAACATCTTGCTAGGCTTATCCGAAGGGCTTTAAACTAAAACTGGACAGGGAAGGAGAGCAATTTATAAGACCAAACCCAAAGGATAAATCTCTCTATAGCAAATCAGACAATGAGGAAGGGAAGGATAAGAAGGAAGGGGTGAGAGGCAGGAAACAAACACATGGTTCAGTATAATAAGGTCTCCTGCCCTGGAAATGGGGTTGGACTAGAACAGGGGTCCCCAACCCCCAGTCTGTGGACCGCTATCAGTCCACAGCCTGTTGGGAACCAAGTCGCACAAGTGGTGAGTGAGTGTGTGAAGCTTCATTTGTGCCTGTCCAAGATCCAGACTGTAAACATGAAACCATCCCACCTCCCAGAGCTGGTCTGTGGCTCCAGAAAGGTTGGGGACCACTGGAGTAGAATCACTGTATGATTTGTGATTAGATTCATAACCTACAAAAAATAACCTTTTAGCCCTATGCTGCCCCTTTTGTCTCAGTGGTGTAGGGATATGCACCCATGCTGGTGCTCCAAATGTATGCATGTAGCTTAGGTCAGGTTTTCTGCCATGCTACCGTGTGAATGGTAATTCACCTGTTGTTGAGTTAACAACATTATTCAATATATGATTACCACACATTATTGCTTCTCCCCACAAAGTTTCAGGTAATCCTGAATCTGACAGCATAGTACGAGCCATTGCTTGTAATGTTTGGCCTCGTCTTTCTATAAAGGTATTATGTTGTGGCCTATATGGTGCAGACTTTTTATGTTCAACACCTGCCATCTTCAGTCTGTTTTGGAATTTATTGTTTATAAATTTCCGTACCATTATCAGTTATAAGAGTTACTAATTTCCTTTTAGTTTTTCTTTCTGCAAACTTAAGCCAATTAAAGAAATTTTGATATGTTTCCGTTTTACTCTTCATTAGATAACAGAAACCATATCTGGAATAATGGTCCATTACACTTAGTATGTAACGAGCACCTCCCACACTTGGTTTTTTAGGACTTATAATATCAGCAAATACCACCTCTAAAGGTTCCTTTGTCTTAAATCCATTTAATCTATTTGCTGGTATTACCTTGCTTTTTTTTGACTGCAAGTATTGCAGTGCAAATACTTACTGCAAGGCTTCAGTTTTATACCTTCAGATAGTTCTACTGTTTGTTTAAGCATTTTAAAATTTATATGCCCTAAACGTCTGTGTAACAAATGTTACTCATCATGAGGTTTAACATTATTATAAACTGTGTTAGCTACCTCTAATGAATTATCATTTAACACATACAATTCACCTTTTAAAGTTGCAGTCATTTTTTTACCTTCTTTTTCTATTATGCAATTTTCTCCTTTAAAGGTAATTACATAACCTAGTTTAACCAAAACTCTAACCAAAAGCAAATTAAACTTAAGTTGTGGTACATATAACATTTTTACATTTTCTTTTATGCAAGAACAATATGCTATACCTTCACCTTTAGCTTTCAGTTTCCAGCCATTAGCTAACGATATCTGCTGTGAACTCGTGGACATCTTAACAAATCTTTTCTTATCTTTCATTATGCAGTGCGATGCTCCACTATCTACAACCCATAAATTATTATTCACAGTTTCGTTGCTATACATGGCTAACTCAAAGCATTTTTCATCCTTTTGATGCCTTTTGATGCATTCTGGCTGGCATTTTGGCGTTTTCCTTTCTTGCAGAATCTAGCCAAATGTCCTTTTCCTCCACAATTAAAACATTTTCTAATTGTATAGGCTGTCATAGATTCTTTATCTTCTTGTTTTGGTTGTTCCCTTCTGAGTTGATCCCTTTCAAGCCTTCTCCTGGCTTCTTCAATTAACCTGCCAGTAATGTCAATTAATGTAAGGTTATCTTTTGGCAGAACTTCAAGTGAAGTTACGTATTCATCGTAGCTCTCATTTAAAGAAGACAAAATTATATAAACTTGATGTAATTCTGTGAAGATAAGTTCTTTTTCATGCAGTTCCTGAAAAATTCTCTTCATAGTGTTTATATGATTCAGCATGTCTCCATTCTTTTGAAGATGTGTTCTAAACAGCTTCCGTGTAAGATTTATATGTGCTCCTACACTGTCTCGAACATAAATCTTCTTTAAATCTTCTTTTCCCAACACTTCGCAGCTGTTTCTTCTCCACGAATATGAACAAGCTGCTGGTCAGAGAGTGTCAGTCCTATTATACAGAGAGCTTGCTCATTCTTCTGTTTATATTCCTGTATTTTCTGGGCATCATCCTCATCCTCTGGATCCCAATCATCTACTTCTGGTGGGTTTTGTATTATATTCTACAAACCTTCTCTTCGTAGAAGTAGGCTGCATTTCATAGACCATGAAACATAGTTTGTTCCATCCAGTTTGGATATTAGAGACAAACTTTGTAAATTGACTTGTGCCATCTTTTTCTGGATATTAAACTATAATTAATAAAACACAGCTGTCTGTTTACAGTATTGTGTAACTACACAAACTCTCACTTTATATAAGCCTGTTATATCCTGGTTAGTCTGACTGTGCACCTGGGCCCATAACCAGTGTTAGGGATATACACCCTAGCAGAATGTGCAACGGCAGTTAGGCAGACAGGCAGATATGTGAGATAAACGTTGTTGTAGCTTACACTCAGTAAAACAGATACACTGTGCTAGTTAAATAGTTTTTATTCCAGCAAGAGTTATAGCATAGTCAAACAGTCCATATATCATACACTACTTCAGTCAGTCCGGGAATTAATCAGTTGCAAAGTCCAGTGTCGAAAAAGAGGTCAGTAAACTTACAAATAATTAGTCCAGTAATATATCTCTTTTGCAGTTAGAGATATGAAGAAAATCAAACCTCTTTTCTCCTCTCAGCAATAGCAGGGAAACACGCAGTTATCACCATCAATCCATCATTGTCAGCAATCCAGTAAAAGCCAGCAAACAGTGAGCTCTCTTGCTCCCTCTTATGGTGATTTTACAACCGCACCCAAAATACATGTTTTACAGTTAAAGTGATACACACACTTAAACTCACTAACATAGTTTATATATATTATTTTACCCAAACTAAGTTAGGTAACCATGTTATTCCTAACAACCTCTGTGGTCCTTTCCAGCCTTATGATTCTATGAACCCAGGGAGATATTAGGAAGGATATACCATAGAGGGAAATTCTAGAGCAGGATTCCCCAACCTCCAGTCTGTGGAATGGCACTGGTCCCTGGCATGCCAGCAACCAGGCCACGCAAACAAATGAAGCCCCATCCATGGGATGCAGGTAACATGCAAAACCACATTCCCTCGAGTCTGCAGAAAACTCTCTCTCCACAGAACTGATCTCTTCTAGAGGAAAAAAAATCAGGATGCATGGAAAACTCTGAAAAATGAGATACTAAAAGTAAAAAAAAAAATCCACAGAGAAAAAAAGTCTCCAGACAAAACCAGCATGGTTGCACCAACAGCTCACTGACAAACTGAGGAACCAATAGGACAAGTATAAAAATGTAGAACGAGGGGCACATAACTACAATAAAATACTACCAAATAGCTCAAAACTGCAAGGATGAAGTCAGAAAACCTATGGGCTAGAATGAACTAAGAATTGCAACAAATGCCAAAAATATCAAAAAGGGTTTCTTCAATATGTAAGGAACAAGAAGAAAGTCAAGATAATGATCTGTTCACTAATGGCAGAAGATGAGAAGAAGGTAACAGGCAAGCTCTTGCCTCACAATCAGGAGGCTGTGAGTTCAATCCTAGATAGAGGCTAATATTTGGAATAGACTCTCCTGCTCAAGCAGGGCGTGGACTAGATCAGGGATCACCAAACTTTTGAACCTCAGGGACCACCAAATTCATAATTTTAAATCCCGTGGACCAGAGACCCTGGCACAATCTATTTCTTTCTTTTTTTTGTAGAAAAACTTTATTAAACAAATAAACAAACACAAAAACAAACAAGTCTTACATTAAAAATTTGAACGTGATATAGTTTCCTAACATCAATCATTGTCATTACTTCGCTAAATCCAATAGTAGTATTATATAATTTCCATCTACATGCTTTAAATATAAATATATCATTCCTTATTCTCATGGATCTTCCTCATCTCTAGCCAACCATAAAATTTCTCCCATGATTTATAATAATCTGAATCTTTCTTATTTTTTAGTTCTTTTGTTAATTTATCAATTTCTGCGCACATTGTAATTTTCCTCAATATTTCAAATTCATTTGGGATATCTTTACTTTTCCAATTCTGTGCATACGCCAACCTTGCTGCAGTAATTACATAGATCATTAAATACAGGTTTTCTTTATCGTATTTCCCAGT